TCCTGTCAAATATTACGTTTTCAGAATAGGAAACGTTGTTTGACACAACTAAACAATTTTTTAGTGATTTTTAGTTTAGTTTAGGGATTTTTTGAACAACAAAATTAGCACCAATAGACCAATAACATAATATGTAATAGGTTAAGTAGTTACATTCTTGAATCATGCATTTATGTTATTGATTAGGATTAAGGTAGTGTAAACTTACACTACAAAACAATAAACTAGAAATAAGTTCATCAAGTTATGTCTAATCGTTCGTTATTCAATTAAGCTAAGAACAAGGTTATTTATCTTATATATATATATATATATATAGTTCTAGCCTAGCTAGACCGATTTGGGTGAAATTTTGTGTGTATATTTCAATGGGGTCCGGGATAGTTTGAAAATACAGTTGGAACCGGTAGGTGGCGCTGAACACAACATTCATTAATTCTAAGGCGGCACGAAGATCGCCGGGTCAGCTAGTTTATTTATATACCTAAATTAACACGTTTCTATAAGTCCTATCCATTAGAGCATCGTAGACCCCACTTACCATTAGAAATAATTCTGCGATTCTAGTGCCGGATCAACACAATGTTCATTAAATAAAAATACAACTCTCGGACTAGGAAAGATTCTTGTGACGTTAGGGCCGACAACCAGGCGCGAGGAAGTATTATAACCCGGCAATCTCGTGCGCGACCGTCCCGCGGGGTGACAGACAGTGGCGGGGGCGAGGTAGCGCGTCATTCTAGCACACGGCTACACACGATTCCCTTCCCCGCTACACCACCCGCTACCCGCTGACATCTTGAGTACCTCGTCCCCGCCACCGTCTGTCACCCCGCAGGACGGTCGCGCACGACGTTGATGGACTATAGTGCTTACTTAAAATCGTGACTTTAATCGTTACGCTGTACGAGCAGTTTAATTATAAAATATTTATCATCCTAAACTTGGTAACTTCTGCTTTTGCCTTGAACTGCGTACTTCTTCGTTATAATTTTTATTCTTAAACGACCAAGTTGATAAGCAGTGCAGATGCCTAAGCGGTTTTCAAAGACTGTAAACACTTTTAGGAACATTGGTTTTAGTTGGATTTACCGCAGTGTTAAGTGAGTTAGGGAGGCTAATGCCTATCATATTTTATAAGATAGAACTCTTTAGATCCTACTATACTTTTTTCGTGATTTCTCTTAGCAGTTAAAGTGTGCACCACTTTTCTAAATTAGGATAAAGATTAATGAATTGATACGTTCGTGTTCTTGTAAGTCAAAGGCATAAACAATTTAATGAAAATAAAGAAAAATGTTTAACTTCCAATAAATTTGTTGTCATCATAATACCAATTAACATTGACAACACACTTTGAAAACGCCCAGAGCTCATCACCTGACAGTAGTTAACGGTGAACTGTTATGTCTGAATTGAACCGACTAAAAGCACGCGGTGCTCGGTCATAAGTAGGACTATGTTTATACGTCATAGATACTTACTGAATCAACCATGTCCGATAAGTACCTACTTGAACCGGTAGACTACCATGTCGCCTCACCAGCCAATCTTCCTGTGATGTGTCTTACCTCCACACATGTGCTTGTCTATGGCATATGGTTTTAAATATCCAATGTAAGCAACATTGGATATTTAAAAAAAAAAACAAGTTTATCTTTGTATTGCTTTTTTTGTTTGTAAATATTTGAATGTTCGAACGGGCTCGTGACTCAAGTGGTTAGTGAGCTCGACATCTAAAACGGAGGTCGCGGGTTTCATTCCCACCCAGGACAAATAATTGTGTGATGAGCATGATCATTTGTTCTGTCTGGGTATAAGTTATCTATAATATGTATATATTTAGAAATATTTAAGTATGTTTATTAATCGTGTACAGATATCGAGTGAAAAATAACGTCCATAGTAAACAAGTGATATAAAAATGGAGATTTTAAATTTCAAATGTTATAAATATATATTTAGCATTATAAGGAGTGAAACCAGCCTGTCAGCAATCATTTACATAATAGCAATACTTTACATCATTCCGTGTCCTCGTGATCTTAAATTTATGTTTTATAACTAGTTTTTAAGTCGGTAAACGGTCGGTGACAAATAAAATCACTTATATTCATTTCTATATTAAAAAAATCATATTCTTCTTCTAAGCCCAAAAACGTCTACTACTGAACATACTTGTAGGCTTCCCCCAAGTTTTGCCACGACAACCGGTCCTCTGCCTCCGCATTCGACGATTGCCCGCGACCTTCACCAAGTTGTCGGATCACCAAAAAAATATATAAAGTTAAAAGTAAAAATATAAAGCTCAAAGTTAATATTAAGTTTTTATATATTTATCGTTCATTTTAAGAACGTCCGGCCGTTCTATACAACCGATTTGCAAATTTTTTAATGAAAGTTATTGATTTACAAGTTTTACAATCAATATTTATTTGTCATCAAGCATTGGAATACACACAAGACTTTCATTTCTCTCAGATTACACTGAAATTCGATTTCCTTCTGTATATATGCTATTGTATGTCATTTATAACTTTATTTTTTTAAATATCCAGTTTTAATAGAAGTGCGCAGTTAATTTTAGTCTAAGAATATTCGCTCGAATATATAGAAACACCTAGAGCTATAAATATACATCTTCATGCATATAACTTTAGACACTGAGCGGCAATCAAATTAGGAAGCTTCACACGGAGGTTATCTGTGCTTTTAATATATTTATATAATGAACTGTGTGGTAAATCTAAAGTTTTCATTTATTTATTATCTCTGGAAGTCTGATTCGAAAAATTTCGAACAAGGTAATAGACAAAAGCGGGTTACTTAAGGGCCGGAAAAGTGAAAATGATCACGGGGAAACTTACTATTAAAGATTCTTTAGTAGGACTAAGTTTTACTCTTAGCCACAGATAATAATAATCTTCTACAAACCTGATTGACTATATGTTAGTATATCATGTCGACTTACATCCTCTTAATAATAATATTTACGATGTCGTCTTATTTGAACATTTTAAAACCTACTAAAAAGGGAACATTAATGTACATTTGGTGAAATATATTCCAATAAACTACACGGTAGTATGACGGGTCTGTTGGTCTAGTGGTTAGTGGCCCTGACTGCTAAGCCAGAAGTCGTGGCTTCGATTCCCACCCAGGACAAATAATTGTGTGATGAGCACGATCATTTGTTCTGTGTCTAGGTGTATTTTATTTATAATATGTATGTATTTAGAAATTTTGTTTATCAGAAAGTATGTTTATCAGCAGTCTGGTTACCATAGTACAGGCTCTGTTTCGTTTGGGATTAGACGGCCGTGTATAAAATGTGTGAAAATATTGTTCTTATCATATTACATAATAAATACATATTGATTACATTTTTAAATATATTACAAAAGAAAAAAATACATTTAAAAATAGTAGACCAGCGACATCGGGTACAGCGACGAAGACACCGACGGTTAGGACTCGTAGGCTACATACAACAGATTGAAGCAACTACTGAGAGATACATACAAAAACCATAATAATAAGGCTCTCGTTGGACGGCTTGATCAAGGGTCTGATGCAGAAGGCAGTTCTCCTTGACACGATACCGACACCGTATAGACCGACACCGACACCGTATAGAGGTTTTAGTACTCTCAGCAGTTGCTACAATTTGTTGTATTTAGTCTACGAACACTAGGGGACCAGAGTATGCGAGATAATGAGAGCTCAATATTTGACCATCATAACGAAATAAATAATTCTAGCACTTGTGTTAGCGCAGGTATATTTTCAAAACTTGAATAAGAAGATACATAACCAGTTTCCAAAAGGTCGTTGGCCTTTCTCGGAACTCTACAGAGTCTACTAACACACATTTTTAATATAGTACATCTTACTAATAGCGTGCCGATGAAGAAGACAAGACTTCTTGTAATCTGTTTCATAAGGATTGGTAGTTAATAGTTTTTTTTTTTTAAATTATATATACACTAATACGTGTGGTTAGGGAATAAGAATACGGAGTGCCCCCCTATTCTTCCATGGTAGTGCTGTTGTATTGCGTAGTTATGCTCTCTTAGTCAGCTCTTACGACACCTGCGGGATGAATAGTCCGTATTCTTAATCCGGCACCACACGGATTCTTTTGTATAGATTGTGTTAAATATCCGTGACTATGGTAATTTTTACTTTAAAGTATCGCGTTCCATAATATATCCAGTGCCAGTTGAGTCACCACCCCTATTCATCCTGCGGTGTCGTAAGAACCGACTAAGGAAGCAAATTATGCAAGACAACAGCACTGCAAAGAGATGGAATACTTGACATAAACCCTATACCAATCCGTCGGACCAGCGTGGTGTAGTAGGCCAAAACCTTGTTTCTAATTAGAGGCCTATGTTCAGCAGTGGACTGTATATGGCTGTTGATGATGATCATATATTTAATTACTTATTATTAGAAACAGACAAGAGATTCACAAACAAACGTTAACAAACGTTAGTTGGCTCTCCTTGGTGGAGGCCTTCGTTGAGCAGTGGACGACGATAGGCTGATGACGAAAAGCAGCAAAGCTAAAAACATTTACCTTAAACATTAATTAATCATTTTTTTTGTAATTTCTTACTTAATTTTGCACTTATATTATAAGAATATTTTAAGTTCTACAAAGTTAAGTTTGTCATTCGGAAAAAAAATGGTAAATTTTTTCGAGAATCGAGTACCGAGATCGAACATGTGGAACTCTCGAAGGGCGAACAAGACTCACTTTACTGGTTTTTGATATTGATCACCAAAACCTATGGTAGTTATTGGCGACAACGTGGGTGTCCGTCTACGTGACAAATAGAGCGTACACCAAATAAAACATTTTATTTCTTAGATGCAATAAAATACAATTAATAAACGGTAGGAACGAATAATTCCCCTCTCATTATAACTATGTATTACGCATAATCATGAATAATAGACATTTATAATTTAAGTATATATTATAAATAATTAATTTATTCAATGTAAGGCTTGATAACTCTGTTCTCACTGCGTCGTTTGTGTCTATTGTATAAATACTCGCACAGCAGCACCGTTGATGCCAAGAAGAAACCTAAATGAAATAAATAAGTATATTAGCTGCCATTTATTTTTTAATGTTCCGTACCTAACAACGTAGAACTGAATGCCTATAATATCACTTCGTTGTCCGACTGTTTGTCTGCCTGTCTCTCTGTCAAGGCTCATTTCTTCAGGAGGTATAAAGTGTATATTATTATAAATAACTTATAGGAAAAGGTATGTTTGAAATGGTATAGGAACGTTTGCCAGTCTAAAAAGTCGCTAAAGTTTATTTTGGTTGGCAATGATGAAGTATAAATAAAAGTATGAACGAGTCAAATTAGAAGCTGTGGTACAAAATGGTTATATTTTTTACCACCCGAACGCCAAACAGCATACTACTAGGATAGTTGTATACAAATATTGAATGTTATGTGATCCTACAAACGTAAAGATAAGGGTTACATTTATTTTAGTGTGAAAGTCAGATGCTTACCCTTACATTTTAATTAAAAAATGACATAAATATTACTGGTTAATTAGTCAATAAAATTAACCTGCGTTTTAACACTATTTACATTGAAGACATTAATAACAAAAACAAATGTCTATTATGAGGCTCATAGCAGCGGGGCAGTATCTGTACTTATTTGAATCACACCTAGTATAATCCTACACCTAAATACTGATTATATCTTACCCATAAATAAGACAAAGAAAGATCCCTGCATATCACTGAGGTTGACAGTGTGATTGTTGACTTCTTGAGCGACAGAGGAAGTCTTCCAACAGCGATGGCGCTTCGGGAGGTAGGCGTTTAACCAACGAATGATCAGGCCTGACTTATGCATTCGGTCTAATCTAAAACATGTGGAAAGATAACAAAACCTCATCGTTTGGACAAATAAATAAAGAAAATGTGTGGAAAACTTAAACACCTTTGTGCCAGAGGTGATCTTCGTTGAATGTTAAACTTCTTAAGAGTTCAACTAAACGGAATTGCTCAATAATTACTGTAACTCTAGTGCAAAAGGTTCTTTAAATCAGATTCAATATACTTTAAGTGACGCTGAAAATGAAATCTCGTTTCTCGGCTATAACTGTGTTAAAAGAAACCCGAGATGCATATTTTTTTTTCTCAAAACTCCAGCATTAGAATTTATCTAGTGTCGCGGGGGACTTTACTTCAGAAAATAAGGTTCCTAAAATGTGCAGATAATACACATATTTATAGCCACCGCTGACCTGGTTGTGTATGCAGTTATTTCATTCATTAATAGACAAAATCAAATCACTATTCTCCGAGAACAGTAGTTGTTTCTAGTACCTATTATCACCAATGTCTTTTGTTGCCCCTCTGATAGTTTACATGCATAATTTCACGGTAATTGTGTAAGTATTCATGCCGTTAAAACCTTACCAGTAAACAAACTCACTTGCGTAAATATAACTTTGGGTTTCGCCCACGACTCCGTTATCACAAGTTCTTATTTCAAACAAATATCTTCAGAACGTGGTCAAAAGTTTTTTGACAGGAAGACACACAAAAAACTTTTAACGAACTGCTCCTTGACGCCCTCCCTCCCCCTATACCAAGAAAAAGTAAAAAACTTACTCTTTATTAAAAACAGGAAGATACGGACTGCCAGCTGGTAAAATCATTGCCACTTTCTCATCTAAGAACTCTTCAACACCTGACAAGAAAAAAACACATCATTGACTGTCTCGGTGGTGCTGTGGTAGCGTATACGACTGTTGTGCTGAGGTTTTGGGTTCGATTCCCTGGTCGTACTAAATGTTTGTATGATCTGTAAATATTTGTTTCGAAGTTTGGGCGTTTTATATGTGTAATATGTATGTGTTTACAAAAAAAAAAGTATTAGAGTGTTCTATTAGTCAGTCTAGCTTTTACAGTAAAAGTTCTGCTTAGTTTGAAAGTAAATGGCGTTGAGTATTAGATTGCCGAAATATTACTATTATTATTATATCTAGCAGTATTATAAATACATAACTTGGTGTTCAATTATGAATGATAAGATTTCCAAAGTTATCATCTCCAGTATCATTACATTTTCACATATGATCTTACTTTGAATTGACTTATTGTAAATACCCAGTATGGAATACAGAATTGTGCTATTGCAAATCCCTCTGTTCACCTTTTTATATTGCCTTAGAAATACCAAACTACATACTACAAAACAAATAGATACAAAGACTTTCTCACAGACAACAAATATTAATAATTCCATATATTTTCTATTAAAATACTGTATATTCAACATAGAACGAGTATAATTTTACACGTTCTTACTTTCACTTCTTAAAGTTTTTACTAAATAAAACAAGGTCAGTAATAATTTTTATCTTCTTTTTTTAAAACTTCACACAACAAAATTTAAAAACAAACCTCAAAGGAGGCTGATGAAAAGAATAATATTTACTTAGTGTAAAGTAGCAGGATTCGGACTCGTGACGGTCGGCACTCATCAAGTAAGATAAACGCAGTTTCCAGTCGATGATTGCGTGACGGTGATGGCGTACGCGTTGTACCAGGTTCGGATCTAGATTCGTAGAACATTAAATTAGGCAGGCATACATACACAGATAATCTTAATATGTTATAAGTGATAATCCCTTTTATTAGCTTTTATCTCTTTTGTCTTCGTAGGTTAAATTGCTGCATGATAACTGTCTGCTTGTACATCAAACTATAGTTTAATAAGATCTTAACTAACTAACCTAACTATACTAGGCGGGCCTGCTGGTCTAGTGGTCAGTGACCCTGACTGCTAAACCGGAGGTCGTGGGTTCGATTCCCACCCACGAGAAATATTGTGTGATGAGCACGTCATTCGTTCTGTGTCTGGGTGTAATTTATCTATAATATGTATCTATTTAAAAATAAATAAGTATGTTTATGAATATATTATATTCACATAAATAATTAAATTAAAATACTACTATTAAATACTTATATATTCTTACCAAAGTATGCGGTCCCTTCCATATCACCTGCACTTGAAACAAGTTGCGCACCTTTTAGCAAAGCTATGTTCCTCGGTTCATCTGAATTCTATAAATCAATTTTTATGATTAGATCTTGCACGCTTTTTGTAGCGAAATCAAATAATGATTCAAAAAGGTTGTTCGTTATATTTCCATTTCTATTTAGAGGAAAGCTCAGGTCTTCTTTATAAAGCTCTGGACGTTAATAGTTAGTGAACTGTTACTAACTTACTGGCTTTTAAAATGTAACTATAATAGTAACAATAAAGTAACTCTGAATTCAGCTGTTTAACTAGGTGCTAGTAATAAAACTAAACTCACTAAACATAAAACCCACGTTTTAGGCCACAAGAGTAAAATGCTGCGAGGATTAGAATATGGAAGAATTAAACTGGGCAGTAATTCGTTGAGTTTCTACTTTATTGCGTTTGCTTCGTTTCTTTTTATTCTAAAAAGCGTTTAACATTTTTATTACAAATCATTTCATTTTGTTTTAATAATATTAAGTCTCAATATATTCTGATGACGTTAAACGAACAAGATCACGTGGATAAAGCATCGAAGTCAAAATGTGAATGACTTGTCAATGTTAAAAAAGAGGCGAGGACGCGCGGATAATCAAATCATGTTTCCACCTCGTGATACGCTAAGGTCATGGGGAATATTTATATATATATATAGCATTTTAATGTATTCCAAAGACATATATAGTGGCTGGACGTCTAACCGATACGAATGCTTTTTTGGAATTTTTTTGGTCTGTCCTTGGTTTTATATTGATAATGTCATTGTACTTTTCCATTAATATATAAATTTATAGTGTTAATTTATATAAAATTATATTCAAAGCTTAACGGCCTTTAAGCAAAGTTTTTTTCTTGCGTGCCCTGTATATATCAATAGTAACGGGTAATAAATAAGTCATAAAATAATATATATCAGGTTTTAAATTTTTAAGATTACTTTCATTTAAGACATGTAATGGCATAGTTACATAACGGTATATATTATATACAAGCTGACCCGCGCAACTTCGTCTGCGTCTCTCAATAGTAATAATTTTTTTCCGTTTTTGAAACATTCTTCATTGGTACTCCGCTCCTATTGGTCTTAGCGTGATGATATATAGCCTATAGCCTTCCTCGATAAATGGGCTATCTAACACTGAAAGAATTTTTCAAATCGGACCAGTACTTCCTGAGATTGGCGCGTTCAAACAAACAAACAAACTCTTCAGCTTTATAATATTAGTATAGATTATGTGATTATGTGAGTTTCTTCTTTCCATCAAGACTAAATGCCATCAGTAAATCCTTTGATTTTTTACTACCAGGCACTGAGATACTCAGGGAGTGGCACTGGCTGATAATGTAAAGGCTTCAAACAAGGTAATCGTGTTTTGTATTTCTTTTGACTAGCTTTTTTATTGTTTTTTTTTTATATAAAAGACAACTCCCGCATTAGGAATATATCCTGTGTCGCGGGGGACTTTACAAACATACATGAAACGGACACAAAGAACACCCAGACTCAGAACAACAATTTGTGGATCACACAAAGTGTCGTCCCATGTGGGGTTTGAACCCACAACACTCAGCGTAGTAGTAAGCGGCGTGGCGACCGCTTACACCACTACGCCATCCGTGCAGTCGCAGGGCAGTGCTTTATATTATTTAAAAACATTTATATACCTATAACATTGCTTTGAATAATTTTTTACATTGTATTTAAAATCCTCAAGTTTATCTAATAATTCTTGACATTTTATTTAATCTTTTTTGACATTGTATATAATAATTCTTGACATTGTATTTACTAATCCTTCCTGGAAATATTTGTACGCTGGAAACAGCAGAATATTATGAATTTCATATTATGTCTAACACCTGTACCTCAACAATATTCTGACAAATAAATATATTATTATTATAATTATTATTATGTATCTTCTTCATTGTTCACGTTTTTGCTGTAGACAGTAATAAATAACATCATTCTCAGTTTACATGTTTAAAGAAAAAAAAACATGTAATATACCTTTAATTCCATCTCTAAATAAGAGCCTTTGGTGATCGACCAAGTATACGAAGCTCGGTTGTGCAGTAGATCTGCCACAGTTGTCACGGGGACCTCCTGCTTCGGGAAAGTAAGGAAAGCCACCAGGTTGCCTGAGTAAGTAGTTACTACAACCAAGACAACCAACCACCAGGTGCCAACAACCAGTCGACCACTGTCCGCTCTGGGTAGATACATACCACCTGCATAGAGGACAGGAAAACCATCAAGTATGGAAATATCGCATAAGAGATCAAACGCCGACGGTAAGGTTTGACCGTTTCTACCTTAGCACGTATAATGAGGATATTTAAGTCACATCACATCAACAGCAATAGTCCACTGCTGGACATAAGCCTCTTCTTAGAAAGGAGGTTAAGTAAATGCTTATAAATTTAGACTTTTACTTTTAATTCCTAGCGCCTGCTCGCATTGGCGCAGGCACCACCTTCTTATCTACTACTTACTAATTATCTAAAGTATTAGAATACTCCTTAACACGTTTTTAGAATACTCCTTAATCTCTTCAATATAAGAATGAAACCTTTATATTTAGATGGACAGACACCTGATACCTTCATAGCAGGAAGCACCGATCCTGACAAAGGGTTACACGTTAAAATCCTACGTCTTTAATCAATTCTCAAATAATCTGGCTAGTTTTAATTATTCGAATTGGATAGATATGTTGTAATTATAAACTATAGTTTTCTCACCTTGTTGCAATAAAGCGCCATATATGTACCATAGACAATTTTGTATTGTCGCAAGACCTCCTTGGCGGGTGATTTCCATTGCCTCATAGTAAGGACTCAGACGATGGACCGCGTATAGTGTTGGGCCCATTAATATAACTGCTAGTCCGAGACACAGCCATGTCTAAATAAAAAAGACTATCAGTATGAACAGTAATTAATGTATTTTATAGACTCACGGTACTAAATATGAAGACTCATAATATATTTAATCCGTCCAAATCCAATACGACTTTTTTTTTTAGTTTTACTTGAAATGTACGTATCTTCAGATCAATTTTGTTAAACTTTTGACAGCCATATTAGAATAGACCTCATAACAGTTACCAAAGCGCATCTATGACATTTCAAACCTGGTAACTTATCACCGTGACCACCATCCACCGTCATTATATAGAAGGGAAACGTTACCCTACTGATATTGCCTGATGATATAGATGACCAAATCCTCGAAGACGTTGGAGAAGCCATTAGGGTCATCTACATTGAATACAGTGCTTTTAGAATAATTGTGATATCTGTATACGTATATATTGATTTTGATTAGCCCGTAAGACAAGTGGTTGGCGATTCTAATTGCTAAGCTATACCACTTTAATGCACAAAAGTGTGTTTCACATGGCTCCGGTAATTTTCAATAAATTACCTAAAGAAATAAGGGCAATGAATACTACTTTATTTATGAAACATTTAAAGACCCTTTTAGTTAATAAGTGTTATTATAAGTTGAATGACTATCTGAACGATGATCTTTCCAATCCTGAGACCTTTTGTGTGTCTTTTGAATGTAATTAATTTGTTAATATATAATAATTCAGGGAGTGACATAGAACTAATGTAATTATTTTTAAATAAATAAATAATTTTTATCATTATAATTTTAATAAGGACATTACATTCATTTTTAGTACTTAAATACTGTAATATAATTTGATTTAAATATTTCGATGTCGATCTTGATTTTAGTAAGTAATAATTGTATATTGCATGCCTTAGGGTAGAATCACTTGAAACATACCTAACTATGTATTCATAAAACCATTGTAACAGTATTTTCTGCAAAAATAAATTAGATTTGATTTGATTTGATTTAAGCCAAAGGTTTTGGTTCCGACTTCCACTCAAGACAAATAGTTGTGTGATTAGTACGATCAGTTGTTCTGTGTCTGGGTTAAGTTTATTAGCAGTCTGATTACCACAACACAGACACTGCGTAATGAAATCAGATGGCCTTGCGTGAGATGTCTCGAATTAAAAAAATATTGAGTGTATTATGTACTCACGTCTGTTGTAAACGGTAGTAGAAACAACAGAGCCCTGCTAAGCTCCTTCGGTCGCGTAATTATGAATGCATACGACTGTATGCTAACTGGTATAGTGTAATTTATACCTGAAATAAACAGCTAGTATTATTCCAATAAATATTAAAAGTATCCCCTGGTCTAACTCATCTTCAGAAGTAGAAAGAATTGGCAAAAAAAAAAGTGATTGGGGTCTAAGAAAAGATGGGAAGGATATCAGCTTATTTACTTTTTATAAATAATGAAATTTGGCGACATCCAGCTTGTGATGTGTTAAGGTATATCTTTTGGTTCGGACTTTCTGAAAGAACGCCCGAACGTTACGGCAACAGCCGATTTGAATTGTGGAGGAACGGCGTCATGTCCCTCCAACACAAAGGGAGGACAATAGATAGGAGATACCAGGTAAGTTGGTTTTACCAACGGTTGACAGCCTTGCATCTTAAATGGGACTAAAATTATAATTGTCAAAAAATGGGCGTTTAACATACCCCTGCTTACCCCTTTTGGAGTTAGACGTGTGTGTCCATACAATATTTTTTTTTTAATTTTGTTTTTTTTTCTTTTTGTTATTAATTTGTAAGTATTCTACTGAATACAAAGAAAAACAACTACAAAACACTACATGCGAACCATGCATCATTAGCAGAGAAAAAAAATGAAAAAAATATTATTAATTATTGCTTTGTTTGTTTTACATACATGAAACGCACACAAAGAACACCCAGACTCAGACGCAGAACAACAATTTGTGTATCACACAAAGTGTCGTCCCATGTGGGGATCGGACCCACAGCACTCAGCGTAGTAGTGAGCCGCGTGGCGACCGCTTAAACCACTACGCTATCCGTGCAGTTCGCAACCGTATTGTTTTTAAGTGCGAAGTTAAAATAAAGTAATATGACACTTTTTCAAAATATTTTTTTTTACCAGGTACAGGGTTAGATGACACAGTAAAAGCGCCAGCAGCCAAGGCTGCTTGGCCTTTAGCTATCGCGGCTATTGCCAATTTAGCATTCAGGCTGTTCGTCTGTAATCAGAGACATGAACCAACTTAAATATTTAAACTTTATTTATTTATTTAATGGTAGACTTAGAACTTGGTATAGCTATAAATGTTTAAATATGCTTTATCTATTGGTTATGACAATTATGTAATGACGTCAGCGGTGCGACAATCTTAGACAGAATTGAAATTTAATGTTTTACAAAATTGAAACTGCATTTCATTAGTTTTAAGACTTTTTCTAATGAAAATGCACGTATTAATCATTCTATAGATGTATCTTTTACACCGGGATTCTCAAACTATTTTGGCCAAGAGACCCCTTTTCTAAAATGAACTGATACCTCAGAACCCCGTAGCAAAATTACTGCACGCTTATAGACTTGTTGAGTTTTTTAAAAGTACAACAATGATACTTCCTACTAAAATATTAGTAATTGTTTTAAAAATTTGGTACACGTAACACAACTAATACACTATCTTAAAAGTTTGAAATGACAGCTTGTGTTAATTAATAGGGGTCGTTTTTGAGACCGTGTTGTAGCCCCAAATTCAGTTTTCGTTAATGTCAACCCCTAGAAAACCGATTTCGATCATAAGGACTTTGGGAATCAGAATGAGTGAGGGTGGTGACAATCCGTATTCTTAATCACCACACGGACAGACACGGACAAGAAAACCAGTGCTAATCAATTATCTCATTCCTTTTCAAATGGTGAGGGAGGTTATCAGAGAAATTTTCTTTTCCTCCTTTTTTAAAAATTCGTTCATAAATACCGGTATTCTGAGATATTAAAGATAAAAAAAAACAATTGAATTGAGAATCTATTCCTTTTTTGGAGTTGGTTAAAAAGAAGCTACTTGTGAACATTGTCTAATAAACATCATAACCCATGAAAATTAAGTTATATATGTGTAAAAATTACTTGAAAATATGTTTATACAGTTACTTACGTCACCCGCAATTGTAATGTTAATACCAGCTTCTTGTTTTATAGCACTTGATAGTATCACTTTTATTCTAAAACAATAATTAATCGTTATGTTAAAAATAGATTCATATTTTTTTTAAATCATGTCGCACCGAGTAGTCTGTACAAACTTTTAGGTAGATAGTTCATTACTCTCTGGAAACGATTCCCGAAGATTACTAATTTTTTTTCCGAAAGATCGAAAGCCCGGTAGCCACCAAAGCAGAGAAGACAGGCGACGAGAGGAGATGTGTTTTAAATAACCAATCAGATTTCGTTGTTTCCACATTTCTCCGCTTAGCTTTGGTGGAAATGGATCTATAGAATTTATGGTTCTATAGAATTTCGTGCCGCTAGCAAGCAAGAGGCGTGGCAGAGCGGTGTTGTGCGTAGTTGTCGGCTGTTCCCCGCTGCCTTCCTCCAGCAAACTCTTGAAATAGTGTGGCATATTCGCCATGACTGTGACATTTTATATGGTTTTTTATCCAGAATCTATGTTACCATCGATAATTTAAATATTGAAGAATACAATAACGAAGAATAAACAAATTATATCCTAATTTGTAACTATTCTAACGATATGACGTCGTCCTTTCGTAGCTACAGTACTTGACTGGTTTCGAGCTCTCACAGCATCTCCTCTCCGCTTTGGTGGAAATAACCTGCCAGCTTCACAGCACATCTCCTCTCGTCTCCTCTCCTCTCTGCTCTGGTGGTCTCTCGTTAGTCTAAAAAGACTCCCCCTTGCGCCTTTATATGTCCCAACCAATTTCTTTGTTGTTGAAATTTTTATGTCATACTAGCTAGCTGGCTTAACCGCCTAAAGCCTTATTCAATAAATGGGCTATCCAACACTAAAAGATTTTGACAAAGTATTATTATAAATAACTAGCGACCCGCCCCTGCTTCGCACGACATCACGTTACATATCTTTGGAATTCTCGAATTTTCTTTACTAAAATATACATGTACAAATTCCCAACCCTATTATATCACATCATCAACAGCCTATACTTGCCAGCCTATACTTGGAGAGGCCTATGTCCAGCAGTGGACTACACTGCTGGACATAGGCCTCTCCTTAGAAAGGAGGTTTTGGCCTACTATACCACGCTGGCCAGACGGGTTGGTATAGGGTTTGTGTAAAGTTTTCCTTCTCTTTGCAGTTTTGTTGTCCTACATAGTTTGCTCCCTTAGTCGGCTCTTACGACACCCACGGGATGAATTGGGGTGGTGACAATTTGTATTCTTAATCCGTCACCACACGAACTATTACTACTACTACTATTATATAACAACTCCACTTAAACACTTATACATAGTTTAGAAAAGTTAAAAAATATGTCTGATTATTATTATTATTGTTAGAGAATATAATTATACTGAGAGGCTGGTATCGATAAGTTAAAAAATAACAGTTCCCGATATAACTGCACCCCTATTTAAATGAGGTTTTGAAATATTAGTATCAACGGTTTTATTTTTTTTAATAAAAAGTATTTACTGCGAGTTCGAAAACGCTACTGCCAAAAATAACGAAGTTTCATTTAAATATTCAACCCCCATTTTGCACCCTTAGGGGTGACATTTTTAAAATCCTTTCTTAGTGCACACCTACGTCACCTAAAGAAAATTTAAGTAAAATTTCAAGTTTCTAGACCCAGCGATTTCTGCTGTGCGTTGAACAATCAGTCAGTGAAACAGTCTGTCAGTTTCTTTTTTTATATTTATATATAAGAAAACGAAACATATTTTTTCCTCGACATTTTGTACTTTGTCAAGCTATATAAAAAAAACATGTTGATTCAAACTATAATTATAGTACATATTATTAAAAAACATTATAAGATAAATAAAGAATTATATAAAACTTACGTGAAGTTTTTATTTTTTGCCAACTGGTTCAGAATATCGAACATCAAACCACTGAAATTTATAATGGAGCCAGACTCGTTCCTTTCCAATATCGTCCACGGAGGATTCTGGAATATTAATTAATTATTTTCTTGGCAATAATTAAAATAAATTAATAGATCTACTCCTATTGAAGAGGTATAATTTTACTCAAACTTATACATTAACACAAGGAAAAGAATTGAAAAATCATCATCACATCAACAGTCCACAGCTGGACATAAGCCTCTCCTTAGATTTTGGCGTTTGTAGAGACGTCTAGGTTTTGGCCTACTTTACCACGCTTTCCAGACGGGTTGGTATAGGGTTTGTGTGGGTGAGCTGTCCCGTGGCGTCGGCCAAAGCTTTGGGCGACGCCGGAAGCATTCTCGTCGGCTTCGTGAATGCCAGAATCACGGTTCTGGCCGCGAGGCCGATGAGGTGCTTCAAGTGTGTGTCGTGTGTGTGAAGAGTGTGTCCCGCACACTCGCACCAAGTGCGAGAGCTGTTTTGACTGCAGCGGATTATGCTTCCGCTGCGGTCAACCCGGGCACAAGGCGGCAGAGTGCTCTGCCGCCCCCCACTGCCCGGTGTGTGAGGCGGGTAAAAAGCCCGCCAATCACATGATGGGGCGGGGGGGCTGCAAGCCTCCCCGCGCTTCTCGGCAAACGCCGGGGTCTAGTCTGCCGACACAGGCTACCCCCGACGTCAATATTGCGTCGACGCCGACGCCCATGGAGGAGGTTGTAGAGACGATCCAGTAATGGATCAAGTCTCCAACCTCCTGGTCCAGACGAATCTGAACCACTGTGCTGCGGCGCAGGATCTCTTCCTGCAAACCATGGCACAGTGGTCGATAGGTGTTGCCGTAGTCGCGGAGCCCTATTTTGTCCCTCCCCGTCCAAACTGGATGGGTGACCGGGACGGCTCCGTGGCAGTCGTCGGCTCCACGGCGGCTCATTCCCCGCCCTTGTCGCTAAGAGACAAGGGTACTGGATATTTTGCCGCCGATTGGGGGGGAATCACCATTTATGGTGTATATTTCTCCCCCAACCGGAGTTTGAACGACTTCGAGGTCTTCCTTAACAACTTGGAAGCCTCGATGCGGCGACTAGTGTCTGGGCACGTCCTCGTGCTGGGGGACTTCAACGCAAAGTCCATTGCGTGGGGTTCCCCTGCGACGGACGCCAGGGGCGAAGCCGTCGAGGAGTGGGCGGCGTCGGTGGGCCTCTGTTTGCTGAACAGAGGCTCCACCAACACGTGCGTGCGACAGCAGTGGGGGTCGATAGTGGACCTTTCGTTCGCTACCCCTGCAGTCGCCGCACGAGTAAGGAACTGGTGTGTCCTGGAAGAGGTCGAGACGCTCTCGGATCATTTGTACATCCGATTCGAGCTCTCCCGCTCCTAGGACCCCAGTAGGGGTCCGACAGGGACCTACTAGAGGAGGTGGCCATTATTCACTCTTGGCTGTCTCCGCAGGCCCCGACCGAGGAGGTCGACATGGGGGCTGGTCGCTTCTGCGAAGAGATTACGCAGATTTGCGATGCGGCCATGCCCCGCGTTCGTGGTTGTCGGCCTCCAAGGAAGGAGGTCTATTGGTGGTCCCAGGAGTTGGCGGACCTCCGTGCGGCCTGTGTACGTGCCCGGAGGTCCCTCACCCGTAGTCGGCGACGTCAAAGCGGGGTCGGTGAGGAGGTGGACCGGCTTCATGAGGAGTACCGAGAAGCTCGGAAAACTCTGAGGCTGGCCATCTGCCGCGCCAAGGATGTGAGTAGAGAGGAGATGCTGGAGAGTCTCGAGCGTGACCCCTGGGGTCGCCCTTATCGTGCGGTGCGTCAAAAGCTCCGCACGTCGGGCCCCCCCCTTACGGAGACTCTCCAGCCCAGCTTCCTGCAGGAAGTGGTCGAGGGCCTATTCCCGCAGCGGGCGGAGCACACACCCCCGTCGATGGCTGCATCAGTCGGAGACGACGGGGGCAGCGAGGTTGATGTTCCGCCCGTCAGGGAATCGGAGTTGGGGGCGGCTGTTCTACGGATTCGATCCAAGAACACTGCCCCCGGGCCGGACGGGGTTCCAGCCCGAGTGATGGCCCGAGCCCTCGACTACATGTCGGACCACCTCAGGGGGGTGTTGGACGCTAGCCTGGCGTCCGGACGCTTCCCTGAGCGCTGGAAATACGGGAAGCTGGTCCTGCTGAGGAAGCCGGGACGGCCTACCGATTCGGTCGCGGCCTATAGGCCTATCGTGTTGCTGGACGAGGCGGGTAAACTTTTTGAGAGGGTACTCTCTGCCCGCATCGTCCGGCACCTCTGCGAGGTTGGCCCCGATCTGTCGGACGCCCAATTCGGTTTCCGAGAGGGGCGTTCGACGATCGATGCCGTGATGCGCCTTAGGGCCGTGACCGAGGAGGCCGTGAGCTGCGGCGGAGTGGTGTTGGCGGTGTCCTTGGACATCGCCAACGCCTTCAATAGTCTGCCATTCAGCTGCATCAGGGAAGCGCTCCGCTACCACGGAGTGCCGGAGTACCTGAGGCGGCTGGTGGCAGACTATCTTGAGGAGCGAACCGTCATGTACGAGGACCGAGATGGCGTCTTGAGACGCAGGGCCATGTCGTGTGGTGTTCCGCAGGGGTCTGTCCTAGGACCTCTCCTGTGGAACATCGGGTACGACTGGGCCCTACGAGGGCGTCTCCCCCCCGGGCTGGGTGTAATCTGCTACGCGGATGACACTTTGCTCACGGCCCGGGGGGCTAACTTCCAGGAGTTTCCCAGGTGGTCGGGCGCATTGAGGCGTTGGGATTACGGGTGGCCCTGGATAAGACGGAGGCCCTATTATTTCATGGTCCGCCCGCCGGCGCCTCAATCGAGGTCGGCTCGGTCTTCGTACCGGTCCGGGCCCAGATGAGTGTTCCCACGAGGCGGCTGTACGCTGGGGTTTGTCCGGTCCATGGCGCTTTATGGTGCACCGGTGTGGGTGGCGGCTCTGACCGCCCAGAATAGGGCGCGCCTCTGGCGCCCCCAGAGGATATTGGCGGTCAGAGCCATACGCGGATACCGCACGGTGTCCACCGAGGCGGCTTGCGCCTTGGCCGGAACACCCCCGTGGGATTTGGAGGCGGAAGTGCTCGCCGAAGTTTATCGGCGAGTGGCTGACTTCCGGGCGGAGAGCGGATTTCGCCCTCCGCCCGCAGACATCGAGCCATCATGGTCAGATGGTCGTTCCGGCTGGAGACTCCACGCGCTGGCTTCGCCGCCGTGGAGGCTCTCCAGCCGGTCATCGCCGAGTGGGCAGGGCGGCAGCACGGGACCCTTTCCTTCCGGCTGACGCAGGTGCTTTCCGGGCACGGTTGCTTCGGAAAGTACCTTTAACCGGTCGCTAGGAGGGAATCGAGTCCCGCCTGCCACCACTGCGACTGCAGTGAGGATTCGGCCCAGCACAGGCTGGCGGTTTGCCCCGCATGGGCGACGCAGCGCCGGGCCCTCACTGCAGTCATCGGAGCAGATCTCTCGCTACCGGCCGTAATTCGCTCCATGGCCGGTAGCGACGGTTGTTTTACCGCGGTCGCAACCTTCTGCGAGGAGGTAATCTCGCGGAAGGAGGCTTCGGAGAAGGCCCGGGAGGACGACCTCCACTCGGACCTGATCCGCCGCCGGCGAACCGGGCGGCGGAGGCGCGCTTACCTGCGCCTCATGCCGCCCTGAGTGTGGCCGCGGGTGGACGGGATGGGTTCTCCCCTCCACCCGCATTAGTTGGCCAGCCGCGAGGGGGCGGCGTTCGCGTGTGCCGGACGCCGCCTAAAGAGAGGAAACTTTGAGACGGAGCCCGCAACAGGAGCGGGCCGGCGCTGGGAGGGGTCCAGAAGGCGATAACTACCTGGACCCCTCCTAAACTGGAAGCGCAAAGAGGGCACACCGTGTGGTTTTAGTCGGTTCGAGTCCGACACACCGGCCCGCGGAACGATAGCCCCGGCGGGGTGACGGTCCGAGGGGATTTCCACACGTAAAAAAAAAAAAAAAAAGGGTTGTGTCAAGTTTTCCTTCTCTCTGCAGTGCTGTTGTTCTGCGTAGTTTTTTTCCTTAGTCAGCTCTTACGACACACACGGATGAAGAGCGGTGGTGACACTCTGTATTCTTAATCTGTCACCACACGGTCAGAATAGCATTGAGATATTCGTAAATGGGCGGATATAATGCAGAGTTGACTGCCAACCTTAATTTATTTCAGTGCCATCCAAAGAAGAACAAAAAGAAGATATTTCTTTCTACTTTGAATTAATTTTACAGTCATTCTCAAATGGAGAACCTTGCTGCCCCATCGGCCGTCAGTTCTCCTTGCTATGTGCCCTGCCCATTGCCACTTGAGCGCGCTAATCCGTTGGGCTATGTCGACCACCTTTGTTCTCCTGCGGATCTCCTCGTTGCGGATTCGATCACGCAGGGAAACGCCAAGCATAGCCCTTTCCATAGCACGCTGAGCGACTCTGAGCTTTCTGATTAGGCCCATAGTAAGAGACCACGTCTCAGTTCCGTAGGTCATCACTGGTCTGTTGAGAAACTCCGTCGAGGTCAGCGAGCATTTGTCCCAGGTCTTCCAGCGATTCTGCCATGACTACGATGTCGTCGGCAAATCGAAGGTGAGTGATGTATTCACCATTGATGTTGATGCGAAGTTCTTTCCATTCCAGAAGCTTGAAAGCATCTTTCAGAGCAGCGGTAAACAGTTTCGGAGAAATAACGTCTCCCTGTCTTACCCCTCTCTGTAATGGAATTGCCTTCGTGTATGGTCGTCTACTCGAACTGACATATTGGCGTTATTATACAAACACTTCAATACCTCGATGTACCGATAGTCAATACGGCTCCGCTGGAGAGACCTAAAGACTGCCCAAGTTTCGATCGAATCAAAGGCTTTCTCATAGTCCACAAACGCCAAGCATAGTGGCCGATTATACTCCTCGGTCTTTTATATAATCTGCCGCAGCGTATGTATGTGGTCTATGGTACTAAAGCCTTTTCGGAAACCGGCTTGTTCGGGAGGCTGGAAGTCATCAAACCGACGTTGGAGACGATTCGTGATGACTCTTGAAAACAGATTGTAGACATGGCTCAGCAGTGTGATGGGCCTGTAGTTCTACAATAAGGTATTATCGCCCTTCTTGAAGAAAAGTACCACCACACCCCTGTTCCATGACTCTGGCGTGTGTCCCTCGAGCAAGATGGAATTGAAGAGCTTCTGGAGGACCTTGAGTACCGGTTTGCCACCCGCTCTCAGAAGCTCAGATGTGATTCCGTCATCGCCCGGTGCCTTGTTATTCTTAAGCTGTTTCAGAGCCATCCCAATCTCGCACTGGCTGATGTCCGGGATATCTTCGGTATAATGTCGGGTTAGCCTTGCTCTAGGGTCTTTAGCTGGGCTACTAGCAGGCTTTGCGGTTGAGGTATACAAGTGTCGATAGAACCTCTCTATCTCCGTAAGTACATCTTGCCTACTCGACGTTACACTCCCCTCTTGTGTCTTCAGCTTCGTCAACTGGCTTTTCCCAATAGACGCCTCTCTTGCGAACACTTTAGAGCCTTTGTTTCGCTCTATCGTCTCCTTAATACTGTTAATATTAAAGGAGCGGAGATCGTGTCGCAGAGAATTCCATATCTGTGTATTGAGCTGCCGATAGGACTTAGCGTCATCGGATGTTTGGAGAGTCATAGAACGTCAACTCATCATCGCTTCTTCGGCGCAGCTTTGCATTGAAGTCTCCCATAACAACGGTGTAGTGTGTAATAGTGCTATGTATGCCGACTGATGTCCTCATACATAGTTTCCACTTCATCATCTGGGTGTGTCGAGGTCGGTGCGTACTGGGGGCCGGGTCCTGTGCTGTCTAATTTTCATTTAGATGTTTTGCCGTACTCGCCACGCTTGGCAGACGGGTTGGCGAGCGCAGTGTGTGCCATTTGGTATTCTGAAACGCTGCTGCCCGTTCCCTGGCTTTATCCCTTAGTCGCCTTTTACGACACCCAAGGGAAGAAATGGGGTGGTACTATTCTATGCCGGCACCACACGGCCCTGTACGGCCCACACGGCCCGAGTCGTGTTTTGATCAAAACAAAAAGGAGACGGCGGAGTGAGGATAGATGCCATGTTGTTAACCTTTAATCACTATTAGATATATATTTAAATTTTAATATATAATATATGACTATTGTTTAATATTTTTTCCTATCGACTGCGCAATGTCGTGTGTCGGGAACACGTTATTCAAACAACAAGGATCGAATTGTACTGTCTTTATTTTATCATTTTACTAGAGTACATGTATCGACAGATTATTAAGAAGTAATCGAGATACTTTTTCGGCTATAACTGATTTCCTTTAGATAGTTAAGTTTATATTTGTTACACATGTTTGCAAGTCAGGCATCAATCTTAACATCCCTTGAGCCATTGACGGGCCTTTGGTCCAGTGGTTAGTGACACTGGCTGCTAAACCAGAGGTCATGGGTTCTATACCAGGACAATAAATTGCGTGATAAGCACGATCATGTGTTCTATGTCTGGGTGTAATTTATCTATAATTATATGTTTTTCGAAATATGTAAGGATGTTTATCAGCAGTCTGGTTACTATAGTACAGTCTCTGCCTAGTTTGGGATCAGACGGCCATGTGTAAGATATTCGTTAGTTTAATATTATTCTTACTGAAGGCACATCGCACTAGAATTTTTACTTCGCTAAAAAATTATATAATTATGCCTTTTATATTATTGTGTATTTAAAATTATATTAAATATCATACGTGAAATGTAATTATGGGTAACTGCTTCCCTCTAAACCCATGGTGAATATGTGGAAACAAAACATCTGTAAGCGTGATTGAATCCATGGTACGCCAATAACCCACCTGAAAAACAAAAAAAAAATTGTCCGTCATATCAATAATACATTTCTGAAATATGAACCTAAAATCAAATATTAATATAGTATTTTTGGGTAGGTATTTCCTTTTTTCTTAGCTAGTCATGTTCATTTTCTCAGTATCTCGATTTAGATTTAATACAAAGCCTTTATTACTAGGAATCGTGGCTTGTCTTATATCCAAATAATCATCATTATCAACAGCCACAGTCCACTACTGAACATGGGCCTTTTCTTAAAAAAGGAGGTTTTAGTATTTTATAAAATTCTGGCCAGACGGGTTGGTATAGGCTTTGTTTCAAGTTTTCCTTCTCTTTGCAGTGCTGTTTTCCTGCGTAGTTTGCTCCCTTAGTCGGCTCTTACGACACCCACGGTATGAATTGGGGTGGTGACAATTTGTATTCTTAATCCGTCACCACACGGACGATTGATCACTTTTATTGTTCGAGTGGGTAAAACTAATTGTCTACCAAATTAAGTTAAATAAATCTAAAAGTATCAATAGTTAAAATTAAACATATTATAAAGTACTACTCACGTTCAATAACTCAATATTTTCAATAATACCGGTGGAAACATTCAGCATTGCTGTAGATGGATCAGGACCTTCCGAGAAACCACGATAGGTGGATCCCCATGTGTCTGCTGCTAGAGCCCGCCACATAGTGCAGTTGCCACAACTACCTTTTGCTGAGATATATTGCTGTGGCAAATAAATATACGAGTATGTTGTAATAAGTAGAAAGCTTGTTACTTAGGTATCGGCTATCAGTTAAACTCAACTTAAACTCCTTAAAGAACTATTTACGAACGAATATTTATTCGGCATTTCAATTGTTGCTTATACTTATTATTATAACGGGCCTGTTGGTCTAGTGGGAATCTAACCCACGACCTCCGGATTAGCAGTCAGGGTTACTACCCTGACTGCTAATCCGGAGGTCGTGGGTTCGATTCCCACCCAGGACAAATATTGTGTGATGAGTATAATCATTTGTTCTGTGTCTGGGTGTAATTTATCTAAATATGTATGTATTTAAAACTATGTATGTATGTATCTCAGCAGTATACTCGTATTTATCAGCAGACTGGTGACCATAGTACAGGTTTTGCCTAGTTTGGAATCAGACGGCCGTGTATGAGATGTGTCAAGGTAAATATATATATGTATACATATACATAGCATTCGTGATTTAAACATCGAGATGATGAAACATACTAAAGTTATATAAGCAATAGTAAGAAGCTTGTCAAATAGAGCAAGATACCTGCATATGTTTCAAAAGCATATCCCGCCGCTGTATTTTGTTCGGTCTGATGGCCTCCCACTCCTCATCAGACACCTGAGCAGCGACGTCGAACTCATCCTGTACTGCTGCGTCAAGTGCTGATATGAACGCGTCCATCAGCTCTTGGCAATAGCACATTAGCCCATACTGGAAGACGAAGGTCAATTTAACACTGACGAAAAGGTAAATTCTCTAGAAACTGAAATGTTTTGACTTCATATCACTCCATCATCAAGTTATTTACTTTAAATGTCCCCATATTCCTAGAGAGAGTAGAATAATTTATTTACGGGAGACGAGCTTACTGTACCTTACTAGAATAAAAAGTGTATCACAAACTGCAAACACATTAGCAAGAGATTTAAGATAAATATAATGCCCTCGGAACATCAAGTGCCAACTACATTTAGTTTTACATCCCAAGAATATTGCATACGCTCGGGTTTGAGTCAAGGTAGTTGGGGTAGTGGTAATCAAGTCAGGTTAGTACGCTCGTTCCAACTTTATTCTTACTAATGATTAACCATATTATCTCAATGGCAAAATGCTTAACGTTCCCTGATGATTTAAAACTTTTCCATGCAGTGAACGGTGCTGCAGATTATGTAACACTACAATACGACATCCACGCAGTGGTTAAATAGAGTTGAAAAAACAAATTGGTTTTTAATATTGTGAAGTGCAAAACTATAACTTTTATCGGTCACGCACTCTAATCACTACGACATACCAGCTAGCGGGTACTCCATTAGAACGTGCCTTTGCAATTTTGCTATCTAGGCCTAATCATGGATACCCATTTAAATTTCCATGAACATGTTATTAAAACGTGTAAAGAGGCAAGTAAAAGTCTAGGTTTCATAATTAGAGCACCGTATCAATTTAAAAATGTCTAAGTAATAATACAATTGTGGAAAGCCTAAGCGCGGATAAAGTTAGAGTTTAATGCCTCAGTATGGAGCTCTCGAAAAACTTTGTATACAATGATGGTGGAAAAAATTCAACGTTAATTTGCCCGATATTTGTTCAAACGCCAGTGGATATTACCCGTTTTTTACCCATCAACATTTGTATCAGGAATGGTTGGTATACCCTACAGTTTAGGCGAGAACTACTTTTTGATAACTGGCAAAGTAGATAACCCTGCGGTACGTGAGACCATATATTTCTATGTACCGGACCAATACATGACAGGCATTGGTAGGCGACAGCATAGACTTCTCTGCTATCCTCCGGCGTGTCACTCCCCACACGCTGATAACGGCCCCACTACCAAAGCCGTCAGACTATTAAATTGTTTCCTAGAGGCCAATCTAGAGGCAGATATATTTTTTTACAAACCTAGCGTAATGTACAGCAATGTGTTACACTTCTTAAATAAAACAGTAAGGTAAAGGACAGGTATAGGTCATTAAATTTCATCTTATTGATATTAAAAGATCTCATTATAAAATTGTTGTGTTTAATTTTTTTTTATTGTAATTTATAATGTTTTATTGTGTATGTTAAAATTTTATTATCGTTGATATCGTCTTTGTGTATTTTATTTAGAATGTTTAGTATAGATAGAAGCGATTTGGTTGTATATACTGTGAGCTTATATTTAATAAATAAATGAATATGAATATTTATTTACTTCCATTAAAAACAACTATCATTACAGGTTTAGCCCAATGCGATAGTGTTATACCATCCACTTATTTATTATAAGAAATAATTCTTAATGCTGTTAATGTGAATATACTCAGTGAGCAATATCGCCACCTCGACTAATGGCTTATACTCAGAAAAGCAATATCATTTTCCTTTTAATGCCTTTCCTTCTTACTTAACTCTCAATTTAATCCTAATTTAAATATATTCGGTAAAAAGTGATCGTTTGATGGCAATAGACGTGACTCGCGCTCCCTTATGACGTGAGTTGCAAAAATAATGGCGGACTTATTACATTTCATACGCGTCTGAATGGGTAAACCTTTCCAGTACACATGTCTAAGGGTCTGTATGTAAAGATAAATGTAATTTGTGCTTTACATTGGTGATACCAGAAAAACTACAATAGGTTTAATCATGCGTACCTTACAATCCGGACTATCATCAGTCACATTATAAATATAGGCAACATTTTCTCCTTCGTACAAATCATTGATAAAGTTACTAAAATTGCTATTCCTTGAGTTCGTGTCGGATATGACATACAGCCACTGCGCCCTTGTGTGGGACATGACCAGGTCTCGGGCAGCCTCCGCCATAGTTGTCATAACATCTGATTTCACTACAGCTATGAAATTTTCACCTGTAAGTATATAAACGTCATCTAGCGGGAGAATCAGTCATAGGAGATAAATCTTGTTAAGCAGAGCATAAATGCTAACGAAGATTAGCAAAGAGAGAAGAGTTGGACACCAAGTGCGATGAAATCAAACCTTCGCCGCCGACTTAAAATACCATCACACCGGTGGTATTTTAAGCTATCTCTCCTACCGCATATTTAAAAGATTGGGTACATTAGACTCTTGTAAAAAAGCGTTTTAAAAGAAAACCTAATAGATGATTTAAATAAAGTAGACACAATAACCAAAATCGACTTTTAGGCTATCTACATAAGGATAACAATTGGACGAATACTTTATGACCTGAAACATTTTATATTTTGACTATTCTTTCTCTTGTATAATACATGAGTCTATCGCAATTATGCTGCTCGCAATCCGTTTAATAAGAGCCTCTTAGATCCAAATTCAATTGATGCAATTTAGAACAAGTTATCGTATGCTCTGCTCTAAAAAGAAGAGGAAACGTCCAACACACTCGACTTCATAATTATAAACCTTCATGTATGACACCAATCTCTCTAAAATAAAGGTACTGCCCAAAAAAAATGCGCTTAAAATACGTACAAGATACTCTTCTAATCAACACAGAAGCTGGATTTTTAAAAGAAGTAAAGTTATAAGGTTTAAAAAGCTTTTATCTAATCTTCAACTTACCTATGTACTTAACAGGTAGTTTAGAGAGTAATCTATGCATCTCTTTTCGCCTCAGGTACTCGTTGACTTCATGTCTCATTTTAAACACGGAGACGGACACAGTTAAAGCCCTTTCATCGTCTATCTGCGATGTCAGGGACTGCACAACTCGCGACACCATGTCCCGATCTGATAATGCAATCAGTACTTTTAAATTCCTATTGGTTCTTCTTTGGGAAAACATCAGTATAAAAAATTAGTTAAAAGTACATGGTGGTTTATAAAATACTATTTTGAAGTCGTTTGTAGTAGTACCCTGAAATATTACGATCAGACTTGGGGAGCGATTACCGCTGTCTCTGAACACTCTGAAAATCTGAACTGAGGCCGTGGGATCACTCCGGGCGAGCAGGTTAACTTATGCCGAAGCAGGCGCTCCCACGGTTGCATGTGGTATTAGATTACAATGCAATACGATTATAATAAGTCAACTAGTGCTTGTAAGTTCGTTTTCAATTTACGTAAATATTATCACGTGTCTCAGCATCGCTTTTTTTTGGTCACGAGTATTACCTTCCCTATATTCTCTACTCTATTCTCAAAGTTCTCCATTCTACTTAACTATTCAACTTCAACATTTAGGTGCAAACCACGTTAAAACCCTTAGATCTTCAAGCAACCTACTTTGTCACATTTGTGCATAAAGTATAAATAAAATATTTAAAAACAGTGTAATAATAATAATATAATTTGGGTTGATTGCTAGAGCCTCGACCTTCAGAGGCTCACGTTTGGCAGTTGGATTATTTAAAAAAAAAACATATATATGTGGGTACTTAGAAAAAGATATTAACAATAACAATTTAGTATTTTAGTCTGATCTCCTAATTAATGACAAAGTTTTAAGCTTCTAATAAACTAGGACTGAAATCTTAAACTATTTAAACTAATGTGTCTAGGCAGTATGTGTTCTTGTAATACGTCTTTATCTATGAAATTGCCGTTTTGTATGCAATAAGTGTATGCGGTAGGTGCAAGGTCTGGTGAGTATAGCGGATGAGGAAGAGCTTCCAACCCCAGCTCTTGCAGCTTGGAGACTGTCTGTTGCGCAGTATGGGGTAGCGCGTTGTCGTGAAGGAGCAGTGGGGACGACCGATTGACCAAAGCTGGTTGCTTGGTACTCACCAGACCTTGCACCTACCGACTATTGCTTTTTCCAAAATTTAGACAACGTTTTAGTGGGTAAAAAATTCAATTCCCGAGAGTCAGTACAAAATGCCTTTGAAGAGTTTGTTGCCTTTTTACAAGAAGGGCATCAATAAACTGCCAATGCGTTGGCAAAGATGCGTCGATTGCATGGGTAATTACTTCGAATAACAGAAATAAAAAAGTTTGAAAAAATAAGTACTTTCACTTATTGCATACAAAACGGCGATTTCATTGGTAAAGACCTATTATTAAAAACTCTGCGACTATTTTAAAACAATTTCAGAATCCTATAGATAACAACTGCGTTACTCACTCAAAGTGTCATCATGTAGTATAACGGCCGATTTCCACTGAAAAGCGTTGGAAGTGCGCAAATCTAGAAGCAGTTGAGGTAACTCCTGACCAGGGTCTGAATATGTGACTGTTATGGCTGCACGTGACGGTAGCCGAGGACAATCCACTTCTGTCAGTGCGAAGAGTAACACATCTTCTTCTTCGGTCCGAGAAAACAATTGCCACGTATCTTCACACGATGCAACACTAAATACAGCTAGAAAACCTAGAATTTACATTTATTTCCTCAATAAAAAGTATTAAAAGACGAAAAATGTACTGGTTAAAGAGCGATCCAAAAAGGGTGGGTTTAAGGTCTAATGTCATGTTTAACGAGTACCAAGACCGAGTGCCACATGCTAAGAAACCCGCTTTTCCGGCTTCATCTTACTCACAGTTCTGTCCTTTTCCACGAAATCACAAACACGTGCCCCCTAGCCCTCCTCCCCTTCCCCCTACAAGAAACCGTGATTAAAGATGTTACCCATCCTTGAAGGATTCCAACAGTCATGAACATGTTGAGTAAGCCAATACTTTTATATTTCATAGAAGTTTAAATAAATACTAGCTGACCCGGCAAACGTTGTTTTGCCATATACATTACGCCTAGGAAATATTGAAAAAAAAAAATCAGTGGTGGGTCATACCTCTAAATGACAAGGTTCATTTAGAGGTATGAAAAATAGATGTTCGCCAATTTTCACACCTACCCGATATGCACACAAAATTTCAGAAAAATCGGTCCAGCCGTGTTGGTGGAGTATGTTAACTAACATTGTGACACGAGAATTTTATATATAAGATATGAAATTGAACATTACCAGTAAACGCTGAGAATTTTAGTTAAAAGCTTGAACTGCATGTTGTGATTATTACTTACCTCTTTTCAGATTAATGACCGTCCAGGAATAGTAATAAACAATAACACCTCCATGCTTCAACTCAACCCTTGCTAACTCCTTGATGTAATCTTTTAATTCGTCCAAAACCGATTGATGCTTTTCGCCTAGATATACCCGATCTAATACAACAGCTGTAATAATATTTATTTTTGAGAAGAGAAGAGTATGGAGTTATAAAATAAGAAATATAGGAGCGTTGGTAGAGTAGCGGAGGAGGAGCCATAAGGATGCGGGCTGCATCGTAGTACATACTGACCTGTAACTATTAATTGAAACATTTTTATTTTGCCCACTTAAATTAGTTATGATAGACAAAACTTAAGTATAAATATTCAACTTAAATTTAATGCTGCACAATAGCACGAGTTCTCCTTGCTTAAATATACATAACTTTTAATTATTTTTTTGCCATGGCTATGGTTTTTTTTTTTTCTTTAATTATAGGGATTGTTGCTGCGAATATTGTTTTTTAAGTACTTGTTTTCATTGAGAGTCTCATGGTCACTAATCTATGCTTTTAACTGCATTTAACGTTTGCGATCCATTGTTCACCAATACCGCAAAAGCAAAATGTTAACAGCTCCTAAAACTGTCGTAATAATTATCGGTTGTAGTATCATAAACACACGGGAATTATATCATTTTTATATTGATTGTATACTAAATTATTTCGGTGTAATATGTTTTCAATCCATTAAAATACTATTCGATTTTAAGCTAGTTATTACTAAGTACGAAAATATATATAGCGAACTGTTTAATACTAATATTACTGTCACTGGCGCGTTCTTAAACTCTCAGTAAACAAAAACATATATTAAAATTAAACAGAATAATGACTTAGAAGAAACTTACCTATCGAAGCATTTGCTGTAATCAAAGAAGGAAAATCTTCTGCGTAGACAGGAGCACATAAACACAGTAAACCCCATACCCATAGTTGCATTTTGCAACAACGCGAACACTGTCCTATTTCTACACTCTCTTAATGAATTTCCAGTCATAATTCGTGGAAAGTAATTATTAAAAACCAATCAAAACCTGCCCGTTACTATTAAGGGCTTATTAAACCTGAATAAAAGTAGGGCACGGGTCACACAGGTGTATCGTCGTAACATTTTGATACGGTTTGCGCGATTGAAGTAGGCTATACAGTCGAATGAGGTTCGTCGAAGAGCCTTCTTTGGTGATACAGAGTGTTCTCATAAATATTAAGTATGTGCTTGTACAACAGCACCGCAATAAGAAGGAAAACTAGAGCCAAACTCTATACAAACGCATCTAGCCAGCACGTAATAGTAGGGCAAAACCTCCTTTCTTAGCTGTCCAGCAGCGTACTGTTGAAGGATGTTGACATAGTGATGGTGTGCTGCCTAAACTTACGGTATAGGATTAACTATATTTTGCTAAATGCATTTGATGTACACGGTATCTGTATAAAATATATATATATATAGTATAAAAAAAAAAAAATGAAATATTATTTTTCTGATCTAGACTGAGAGACATTCTGCTCCGACGGTCACGCTAATCTCCGAAACCGATGAATCGAAAACGGGCAAAAACTACATAGTTTTTAGAAACAGAGTTCCTCGATCTTTTTGGTAGATTTAAATAAAAAGACAAATCCTACTGCAATTTTTCGAGAATATTTTTATAATGGTTTAATAACAATAACAATTTATAAACCACTCATCTGTCTCTTTAAGTTTTGTTCAAATTGAAAGAGCATACAGTTTTATTACTTTTATAGTTAATTTTGCAAAATAAGGCAAAGGATGTTAAGTCCTGTTTTCAAAATTTGGATATTTGACCAGATTCGTACACCCATACCGAATTTTGTGTGACTCAAACACCTTTGTTTAAAGCCTCTTTCGTCGTCTTACCCGGGACATTACCTTAGCAGCACTGCCAGGAGAAGAAAAACTTGACCCATACCAACCCATGGTATAGTAAGCCAAAACCTCCTTTCTAAGAAAAGGCCATGTCCAGCAGAGGACTATTAAAGGCTGTTGATATGATGTGATACAAAAGAATATTCAAGATGTAAATAGAACAGCCTGTGTATGGGTAAGAAGCCGTTCCTGAAAGGTCAACTTATCAAGTATTCATAGTAATTAGGAGCCCGCATTACGCTGTCTGTAACATATCATGATCATTTCAACTGCTCATATCAAACTCAAATCTAATTGATTTAGACAAACCGTTATCACCTACCAGTAATTACTGTCAAGTTTTGAAAAAAATATTAATAATTCAAATATTGACGGGCCTCTTGGTGTAGTGTTTAGTGAACCTGACTGCTAAGCTGGAGGATTCCCCCTCATGACAAATATTGTGTGGCAAACACGATCATTTGTTCTATGTTTGGGTGTAATTTATGTAAATAATAATAACCTCACCTCACACATCTTACACACGGCCGTCTGATCCCAAACTAGGCATAGCCTGTGGTATGGTAACCAGACTGCTGATAAAGATACTTATATATTTCTAAATACATACATATTATAGATAAATTACACCCAGACACAGAACAAATGATTGTGCTCATCACACAAATATTTGTCCTGGGTGGAAATCGAACCCACGACCTCCGGCTTAGCAGTCAGAGTAACTAACCACTAGACCAACAGGCCCGTCAAAATAGTTGTAATTTATGTAAATAGTGCGTTTATCAGCAGGTTGATTACCATAGTACAGGCTCTGGGACCAGACTGCCGTGTGTGAGATGTGTGAAGTTATTATTACGAGTATATCGATGGTAATATTCAGTTTTCATTTATTGAGGTAAAAGTAGGAACATCTTAACCTATCTACGCCCAAATGTTACACCTTACATTTGCCCAAAAAATATTATGAACACTGCATGTCAGGATTCTGTTTGTCTCCAAAAGTCGAATTTTGCATCCTAAAAACTTAATTATTTTTGTCTCTGTCTTTTTTCTCACACCGTGTGATCTGTTTATGATTTAGTAAACTTCATATTTAATCGTGGAAGAGTCACATTCTTCGACGCATATACCTAGACCGGCTCGATCGGAGTGATACATATCCCCCTAATTCTCTTGCGTCTCTTAAACTGCAGGTGTCCATGGGCGACAGTTGTCACTTATCATCAGGACACGGGTCCTTGTTTGCCTCCTATATCATAAAAAAACTGTGACCGATAAATGTGGACAGTCCCTTAGTACAACGAAACGATTGTTTGAAAATCATTAATAACATTTGTGGCGACTTCGACATACGGTGAAAGGAAGAAATAATATACTACAGCGCCATCTATTGAAGACACACTGAACTACGGCGTAACTGCTAATCCTGTATCGCGATATAAACAATCTCTCGCCGATTAGGATATATACAACTTCCCAACCTAAATCGTTAGGTCACGGTCCGCCAGACATGATCACCTCGCCTGGTCGAAGAATCCTCCCTTTGTGTTGGAGGGACATGTCACCCCTTCCTCTACAATATGCAAATCTTAAGACTTTTAAAGAAGAATGGAAAACTTTAAAGAAGTTTATAATGGTTCGCATAGAATATCCCATCAAGATTTAAACATAAAAGAATTAAACATTCGCCATCAGTGAGTGTAGTTAGACAGGTCACCGGTTAATTTGTTTTTAATCAAAGAAATTGCTTACCTAGATTGACAGAATTCCATTAATTCAATTGCCTTTAGATCCATTCGCTACTAGTTGATTTCATGTAACTTGCAAGGACGGATCAAAAAATGCCAAGGATAAGAAATAAATAATGTATTATTCATTTGCCTAGTTAACCTTCTTTTACTATTTCTGTAGTAGAGTTATTTACTCGTTGAACTACCGGTCATAAATATGCGATGCGACATTGTTTCTTTTGTATCTGCTGCGTCAAGAGAATCGCAGCGGAGCGAAGCATCATCAGCTTTAAGACCATCAAATTTATGACCATGTTTGCTGCAAGTAAATAATTTTCATACAGTATTATCTTTTAGGAGTTTTGTATTTGATATTTCTTAATTGATATTACTATAATAAATGGCTATATTATTATTATTCTCTTTATTAAATTATATATACATATTAATTACATTTTTAAATATATTACAAAATAAATAAAAATACATTTAAAAATATAAAAAATAGTAGACCACCGACATCGGGTACAGGTACCAAGACACCAGTGGTTAGGACTGCAAAGATAGGAACCTCCTCACTATACGAGCCGTGTCAAGGAGGACTGCCTTCTGTATCAGACCCTTGATCCAGCCGTCCAACGTGAGCCTCTTAAGGTGTTGGTCGAGGCTCTTGGCTATCAATCCGTGAGCAGATACGACTATCGGAACAATTATCACTGAATCGACATTCCACATATCGACAATCTCGTGAGATAAATCCAAATATTTTATTTATTTTTCTTTTTCAACTTTCACGAGATTCTCGTCATGAGGAACGGCGATATCAACAATCATTGCGCGGCGCTCTAATCGATCTATCACTACAATATCAGGCTTATTAGCAACAATAGTCCTGTCTGTGATAATAGATCGATCCCAATACAACGTGGCCCGACCATTCTCGAGAACTGGGTCGGGCACATACCTGTAGTATGGCACCTCTAGATTCACAAGATGGTATTTAAGGGCAAGCTGTTGGTGTACAATCCTGGCTACTTGGTTGTGCCTGCAAATATTCACCGTTAGCAAGACGAGAACAACCAGAAATGATATGCCTGATTGATTCCCCAGGACGGTGGCATGCCCGACAGATGTCAACCGTACCATCTTTCAGGATATATTTCCGATAGTTATTCGTCATGATAACTTCGTCCATAATCGCACAAACAAAACCTTCAGTTTCTCCGAAGAGATCACCATACCGTAGCCAAGTCGTAGATGCTTTAAAGTCTATATCGGACCCGTTTAGGGCCCGATAAAACCGGCCATGGAGCTCTTTGCCCTTCCATACTTCCCTACGATCATTAGTACTAAATACTACAGGTTTGCGCCAATTCTCTTTAGCCAGAGCGAGCGGGGTGAATCCGATATCCACTGCAACTACATTGCGATGCATTCCCACATCGGTATGTAGAAAATATTCTCTGAGATTGCATATCTCCCGATTGTGTAGGGTCTTGATATTTAATAATCCGCGACCCCCTAGCTTTCGCGGGATATACAATCTCATAACCGATGAACGTGGGTGGTGCATTCGAAATGCAGTCAGCAATGTACGGACTCTCCTATCAAGGGCATCTAGTTCGGTCTGAGTCCATTTAAGTATACCAAAGGAATACATCAGAATCGGCATGACCCAACCATTGCAGGCTCGCACCTTGTTGCCCCCTGATAAAAGACTTTTAAGTACTTTTTTCAAGCGGCCAAAAAAGCGTTCCTGCAACGTTTGTTTCATGTCAGATTCTGGTATGCCTAACGACTGTGATATACCCAAATACTTGTAAGTTTTTATTATTATTATTATTATTATTATAATTGATATTACTAAAAGAGCTCAATACTAAATAGTTTATAGACTAACAATAACGAATGGGAGAACGCTATGGTTTAATCTCTTTAAAAGTTCATAAAATTATTCCTTTTTGCAATATGGATATGTTATTTTACATTGCAAACCCTAGCTAAACCTTACGAGATAGATCAAAATAATGCACTACAGAATTATATATCTTAAAAAGATCTAGAAAAAAAATTGAGGTAGTATATGTCTGTCTCCTAAGGATAACTTACAGTAACCATTTTATCTTTTATATTTTACAAAAAACAATGAGCAATTTACGAAGGTATTTTGAACAATACAGTATTATTCCTTATCCAAATAAATACGTAAGGTACGTTGTGCATTTCAAGTAGATCAAAATTGCCTCTTGCAGCATATCAACAAAGCGGCTGTACGTTCGTCCCGGGTTGCAGCGGCCGCGCCGCGCCGGTAGGAGCAGAGC